CTACACAACACAACACAACACAACACACCACACCACTACACAACAAACACAACACAACACAACACACCACTACACAACACAACACACCACACCACTACACAACACAACACAACACAACACAACACACCACACCACTACACAACACAACACAACACAACACTACACAACACAACACAACACAACACACACACCACTACAAACACAACACAACACAACACAACACACCACACCACTACACAACACAAACACAACACTACACAACACAACACAACACTACACAACACACATAACCTAATCCTAACCTTTTGTGGACTAAGCCCGCCTCTCACACACTAGATAAGGCTAATCTTACCTGGCCCGCCTCTACTACACACACAACACCTGAGAAATAATATTGTCCTTTTATGCACCAATATCCTCCGCTAATTAAGAGTTACCTGGGATTTGTGAGTTTTTATGAGACGGTAAACAAGAGAGAGAGAGAGAGAGAGAGAGAGAGAGAGGTATTATATCAATTTTGTTATCTTATCTATTCATAACTTGATGCGGTCTTACATATCAAGTTTGTTATCGTATCGTATGAATTATTTCCGTTATTGTTTCATTGTATTTTTTATATGGGACTTTTTCTACGTTAGTTGTTGTTGTTGTGATGTTAATAACTGATGTTTTATGTATTTAATTTCTCATTGATGTTGACGACTACCAGCTGATGATGACTTCGTGTTCAGCCGTTTTTTTTTAATCAGAATAAAGTTTTTTCATTATAATGCTCGTGTTGCTCTTGTGTTCACTCTCAGACAGACAGACACAGACAGATAGACAGACACAAGACAAGACAGACAGACAGACAGACAGACACTCTTCAAAAACTTTCCCCAGACACTTGATACAGGAATAGGTTATGGCTCTTCCTCTTCCCTTCCTCCCCTGCCTCTTCCCTCCCCCTCATCCCCTCCGACAGGTCATTAAAAGTGCAATGACCTTGTTAGAGGCCTGTGTTAATGACTCCTGTAAATGACCTTTCTGGCTGACTAGTTCACCTCCTGTACCTTTGCACGCTCTCCCACACACACACAGTCTCCCACAGTCTCTCACAGTCTCTCTCAGTCTCTCTCACAGTCTCTCTCACAGTCTCTCTCAGTCTCTCTCTCAGTCTCCTCAACTCTCTCACATTGTCTCACTTTCACATAACTTCTCTCACTTATTTTTCCCTCTTTCTTCCTCCTCCTCCTCCTCCCCTCCCTTTCCCTTTTCAATATCTTTCAATCTCTTTTTCCTTACTCACATTCTCTCCCACATCTTTCTAGTTTTACCTCTTCCATTTCTCCTTCCTTCCATTCTTTTTCTTTCTACCTCCTCTCACTTCCTCATTTTCTTTATATTCTCCTTCTATCTTCTCTTTCCCATGCACTCTAAAGTCTCCTCTCCTTCCTTTCCTTCCCTTTCTCTTTCCTTCTTTACTCTCTTACCCTTCCACCCTTCCCACAGCTTCTCTTCTATCACCTGTTCCTTCGTCTTATCCTCTTCCACCACTCTCCCAGCTGTCTTACTTACCCCTCTCACACCCCTCCCCACCTCCCTCTCCCATTCCCTACTCCCACATTCTCCAACCCACTCTTCCTCCCCCACTGTCTCCCAACCCACTCCATCCCACTCCCACCCCACCCTCCCACCCCCACTCCATCCCTCTCCCACCCAACTCCAGCCCACTCCACCCCTCTCCACCTCTCTCCCACCCCACCCACCCCACCCACACCCCTCCATCCCCACTCCAGCCCACTCCACCCCTCTCTCCACCCCTCTCCCATCCCTCTCCACCCCACTCCACCCCTTTCCACCCCTCTTCCACCCCACTCCACCCCTCTCCCACCCCACCTCCACCCCACCCCACACCCTCCCATCCCACCCCACCCCACCCCTCTCACCACCCCTCTCCACCCCTCTCACACCCCACCCACCCCATCCCACCCCACTCCACCCCACTCCACCCCTCCCCACCCCCCCTCTCCCACCCCACTCCACCCCCTCTCTCCCACCCCACTCCACCCCTCTCACCTCTCTCCCCCACACACTCCACCCTCTCCCACCCCACTCCACCCTCTCCACCCCTACCCCACTCCACTCCACCCCTCTCCACCCCACCCCTCTCCACCCCACCCCAGTCCACCCCACCCCACCCACTCACCCATCTCCCACCCCACCCAGCCGCTCACTCTCCCACCCCACTCCACCCCCACTCCACCCCTTCCCCCCCACCTCCACCCCCTCTCCCACCCCACTCCACTCCACCTCCCACCCCCACTCCACCCACCCCAACCCACTCCACCCACCCCACCCCACCACACCCACTCCACCCTCTGCACCCCTCTCCCACCCCTCTCACCCCTCTTCCACCTCTCACTATACTCAAAGCTCTGTGAATCCCTGCCGATTTGTCCCACATGATTGTTGGGTGGAATTTTCGTGAACTTTTGTGAACTTTTAGCTGTAGAAGATCAGCTCAAAGCTAAGTTTAGAGAAGAGTGTTAGCATCCAGGTGAGAGAGAGAGAGAGAGAGAGTAATATGATGATATAATGCTCCAGTTGTGTAGTCAGCGCCACTTGGAGTCAGAGCCACTAAGAGTCAGAGCCACTTAGAGTCAGAGCCACTAAGAGTCAGAGCCACTTAGAGTCAGAGCCACTAAGAGTCAGAGCCACTTAGAGTCAGAGCCACTAAGAGTCAGAGCCACTAAGAGTCAGAGCCACTTAGAGTCAGAGCCACTAAGAGTCAGAGCCACTTAGAGTCAGAGCCACTAAGAGTCAGAGCCGCCTCACAAGCCAAGGACTAGGGACAGACAGGGAGCCAATTAAAGCAGATGACACGAACAGTACAGTACTGGGTCATGTTACCTCGGATATGACGATGAACCATGCTGGGCCACATCCCCGACTCGCAACCCATGGCCACATCCCTGAGTCATAACCCATGGCCACACCCCTTGTCCACAACCACAAGCTACAACTCCTGTCCCCACATCCTTGAGTCACAAACCATGGCCACACCCTTGAGCCACACCCCGTTGAGCCACACCCCTTGAGCCACACTCCCTTGAGCCACACCTTTGAGCCACACCTTGAGCCACACCCCCTTGGGCCACACCTGTGAGCCACACCCCTTGAGCCACACCCCTTGGCTATTCTTGGCCGCCTTCCCTTGAAAAATCTGGTGTCAGGCCTAATTACAGCACGGCCTCGTTCCCCACTAGCTTGACACACACTAAGAAGCTCCCGGTCCGTGACTGTAGAGGCTCATGAGGTAGTGTGCCTGAGTGTGTTAGTGGTGCCTGAGTGTGTTAGTGGTGCCTGAGTGTGTTAGTGGTGCCTGAGTGTGTTAGTGGTGCCTGAGTGTGTTAGTGGTGCCTGAGTGTGTTAGTGGTGTCTGAGAGTGTGTTAGTGGTGTCTGAGTGTGTTAGTGGTGTCTGAGTGTGTTAGTGGTGGCTGAGTGTGTTAGTGGTGTCTGAGTGTGTTAGTGGTGCTGGAGTGTGTTAGTGGTGTCTGAGTGTGTTAGTGGTCTGTGTGTTAGTGGTGCCTTGAGTGTGTTAGTGGTGTCTGAGTGTGTTAGTGGTGCCTGAGTGTGTTAGTGGTGTCTGAGTGTGTTAGTGGTGCCTGAGTGTGTTAGTGGTGCCTGAAGTGTGTTAGTGGTGCCTGAGTGTGTTAGTGGTGTCTGAGTGTGTTAGTGGTGTCTGTGAGTGTGTTGGTAGTGCCTGGTATGTGTGTGGTGTCTGAGTGTGTTAGTGGTGGCTGAGTGTTTTGTGTGTGTGTGTGTGTTTATTATTATTATTACTAAAATTATTTATTCTATGGCTAAAACAATTATTTATACTATCATCATCATCGTCATCATCATCATCATCATCATCATTATCATCATACATTGATATAATATCATGTGCATCATTACCCGCTTCAATAGATCATACAAACGCTTAATTCCCATTACTGTTCGAAGCTATTGTGCTTATATGTAAATTACACTGGGCTGTACACACCGTATGGGGTTCGGCATTACAATGTACAGGGTGATTCAGATCATACAAGCCAGCAGTGACTAGCCCACACTGTTGCTTCTGTCAGGTGATATTAGTGTGGCGATTTGTATAGTGTGTGTGTGTGTCAATGTATATAGCTATAGAGAGTTGTTATTGAAGAGAGAGAGACTGCACACACACACACACACACACACACACACACACACACACACACACACACACACACACACACACACACACACACACACACACATATACATACCGTCTTAGTGCCCAAGTTGTTAACTCTGCAGACCAAATGGGCAGTTTGACCTTCCACAGCTGACACATTAGAGGAGACGCTGGGGTCAAACACGGGGTCAAACAGTGTATTGAGATAGTCACTCCAAGAGGCGGGGTCCACATCCACGCCTTCGTCAGAAACCCTCCCACGGTGTCCTCGTCCCTGTCAGCGTGTGGGCGAGGACGGTCGTGAGGTGGTGGCTGTATGGATGCTACACCTCCTGAGATGCTGTGAAGGAAGGAAAGACAGTGAAGTATTATGCATTATTTATATTAATTCATTATTTTGGACGATAAATGAATGAGTACACACTAAGTACTATACGTGAATAATGAATAAATGATCGGTTTTATTCATTATATATACGAAGGTGATTACACAATGATTAAATGATGACGCAATTAACCCCTCCCCATAGAAAATATATATTCATAATTATTCTCAAAAGCAATATTCCGTTGATAATTTGAACTCATATAAAATATCTAAAACAATCGTGGGAAATTATCATAGTATTCCACGGCATTATACCCTGCAGGTTATATTAGTGAACAGGTAATGGCAGGTAAATACTTGCATACTAATTATAACGCTTAGTATCTTATTATTTCGCAAATATTAAAATGGAAAAGATAAATTTGAGTTATATTAAAAGACTAAACTTATTAATATATTTCAATAAGTCTTTAAAAGTCTTAATGATTATAAATGATTTGCAAAGACCTATTTTTTGTGTATGTAAATATAAATATGAAAGTCTTACCAATAAAAAGGATTATTTTATGTAAGGTGAAAGAAAACGGGAAACACATGTAATTTTAAACAGCTGATCAATAACCATAATTACCAATGACGTCATAGAATGGGTCAAATGTAGGTTATATTTTCATGAGACTTTGATTTGATTCCTTTTACCAGTTTCATATTTATTCGTCAATCACTAGTGGTATTTGTGTCTTATTTCTTCGTTCAAGATACTATACAATTTGAGGTAATTTAATGCCATATGTTGGTCGTTATGGCAACACGTCCTTCAACAGCATGTGTGTGAAATATATTCCATTTTGTTGTGTTCCTTGAGTCTTTTTCATGAATATATTTCACTTTCTTACTCTTATCTTGAATTTATTGGAGAGAGAATTTGTTATTTGTAAAGTGTGTGTGTGTTGTGTGTGTGTGTGTGTGTGTGTGTGTGTGTGTGTGTGTGTGTGTGTGTGTGTGTGTGTGTGTGTGTGTGTGTCAGATTATATCACCTGAAATTTATGTACTGTACAAAAAAAATCGTGTTGGGAAGCAAGTCTATTACACACACACACACACACACACACACACACACACACACACACACACACACACACACCATAACGAATCTTCAGGTGATCATTATTCATTATTCTACACCTAATTATCTGTCCATCATTACAAAAGATATATCGCTGTTCATATTCGTGTGTCAAATTGAAAAACAAAACAAAATCCTGATCTAAAACTTTCCGGGTTATAGGATTGAGCTTATATAATGCCTGAGTTACTTGGAAGCGTATTACCTGGCGGGTAAATCTGATCACATAATGTTTTGATGATAATTATACTTTATTCAGTCATAGTGCTGACCATTGTACCTTTGCCTTATACCTGGATATATTAATCAGTATACCTGGAATTGCTGTACCTGTAATTTTTATACCTGGATACCCGTATATTAATCTATACCTGAAATTAATATACCTGTATTTTTATATCTGACTATATTAATCTATACCTGAAATTGCTGTAACTGTAGTTTATAGATAATTTACTGCCTCTACCTGTATTTTATACCTGGATATATCAATGTACATATTCAATAAAGGCTCGGATCATATTTCAGTCTTTAACATGAGAAAAAGTCTTGGTATATGATTTTTTAAGGCAATTAACAGAAAGTCCAAGGGCATTTTCACCCATTAAACAGTAAAATAAAGTCCAAGGGCCATTTTTGTTGTCCAATTAAATTAAAGTAAAAAAATAAATAACTCCGGGCGTCATCACAGAGCGACTGTATTAAGTTATTGGACTTTCTTCACGGCGGGTGGTAGGTTTCGCTCGCTGCTGATTGGCTATTTAAATCTGTATGTGTGAGTGGTGTGAGAATGTGTGTGTGTGTGTCAGCTCTCCTTAACTCTCAAGAAGCTGTGTGATCTACAGTCTATGAAAAAAAAAAAACTCCACAACTTTTAATACATCTCACATATCTCTCACTCTCTCTCTCTCTAGGGAGGCAAGGGAGGACGAGTGTAAAGGGAGGGATGTGAGGGAGATAAGTGTGAAGGGAGAGAGATATTGACTCTTTCTCTACCTGGGTCTTGCTATTTTACTTTTTGTTATTTTATATATTTTTCTTTGTCATTAAATTTTTTGGTTTTATTTTTCTTTCATCTTTTTTCATTTTTATTTCCATCTTTCTCTGTTTCTTTCCCGATGTCTTGTTTATCCTAAGTCGTGTTATTATTCCTTATTTTATCTTTGTTTTTATTCCTCTTTCTTGTTTTATTCTATTTCTTTCTCTTCATTTCTTTCATTCCCAATATTTCTCTGGGGGTTCATTCCTCTCGACTTTTTTTTCATGAATGGATGAAAGATATTGCAGTTTCTTGTTTGGTTCTTGCTTTTCTTTATTCATTTTCTTTTTCTTCTTTCATATTTCTTATTGTACTCGTTTGTTTGAGAACTTGGTGCTTGTGAATTCCTGTGTGTGTGTGTGTGTGTGTTTGTACTTGCACCGAGATGTGTGTATGAATTTATGTACGTGTAGGCACATGTACGTTTAGGTAAGTATGTGTGTACGTACTTGTGTGTGTATGCGATTATGTAAGTGTGTGTGTGTGTGTGTGTGTGTGTGTGTGTGTGTGTGTGTGTGCATATGTGCGTGTGTACGTGTGGGTGCATATGTGCGTGCTTGCGTGTGTATGCATTTATGTGTGTGTGTGTGTGTGTGTGTGTGTGTACGTGCTTGCCTGTGTAAGTCGTAAGAGTGGCAACAATTTTCTCCCCTCTTCTTCATTATGTACGTGGACTTTGAAACTGGAACGTGCTGGAGTCAACCACCACCATCATTATTTTCTGCACTGGAATGTTTGTGTGGCACCTTGGTTCTGTGGCACCTTGGTTCTGTAACTTTTTTTTTATGGTTCTGTGGCACCTTGGTTCTGTGGCACCTTGGTTCTGTGGCACCTTGGATATGGCACCTTGGTTCTGTGGCACCACCTCTTAGATATTAATAAGGAGGTCAGCTGGCACTAGAATATAAGGCACTCACGACAAACAAAGAAACGGACTTAATATCAAGTCACTCACACAATGTAAAAGGAAGATGGACTTTGGCTTATGGCACTATTAGCTGAGAGAGAGAGAGAGAGAGAGAGACACTGTTTCATCCAGCCTACATCAATAAAACTAATTAATCAGTATCTGTTAATAGAGTAATCAAGGAACAAGAGAAACTCATTAGACGCAGATAACAGATCTTCATTCTTTTCCTTCTCTTGTTAATTATTAAGACAGGTGCGTTTTCTTCATCTAATTAATAACTAAAATCAAAATACATGATCATACACATTGGTTAAATGAATATACTGGTACCTTTCAACTTATTAATTACCAAAAACTGATAATTTACGAATAAGAGAATAAGCCTCTGACCTGACCCGACCTGACCTGACCCGACCTGACCTAATCTCACCTAAGCTCCTTCTCTTATCCGCTACAAGACCTTCGGCCGCTCTCCAGTACTCTTTAAGACGTCTTCAAAACTTAGAAAAAATCATCACTTTATTGAAGAGTGGAAGTCAACTTTGTCTTTTTATGTCACCAGAGTTTTTGTTGTTATTGTTGTTGTTAATCTTATTGTTGTTAATCTTCTTGCTGTTGTTGTTGTTGTTAGTATTGTTGTTTGTACTATTTCTCGTATACTTATAAATTAATAGTTTCAAACCTAACCTAACCTAACCAAACCTAACCTAACCTACCCCTAGATACCATTCGGGAGTTTAATCATCAGGGAAAATAAACTGAAGGAGGGGCTAGTCTTAATGTATTCCCCAAAGAAAAAACAAAAAACAAAACCAGGCTCGAACCTGTACCTTGACATCTGACACCAGTGCACTATACCACTTAGCCACGGCCGTCACACCAATTTAAAAACACGAAAAAAAAGTGTAAACAATTATTAATAAATTTTAGCTGTAAAAAATAAAAATAGTCGAAACAATATGAATGCGTCTGTTCTGAATTCTTCTCTTAAATTGAGATTTTTTAATTTGAGTAATTTTGTGGGTAATGGCGGTAAAGGGTGGAGGAAGTGAGGAGAGTGAGAAGAGGAGGGTGGGAGAGTGAGGGGTGGAGGAGAGGTGAGGGAGGAGGAGAGTGAGGGGAGGAGGAGAGTGAGGGGAGGAGGAGAGTGAGGGGAGGAGGAGGAGAGTGAGGGAGGAGGAGGGAGGGAGGAGGAGAGGGAGGAGGAGTGAGGGAGGAGGAGGTGGGGGAGGAGGAGAGTGGGGAGGAGGAGGAGGTGGGGGAGGAGAGAGTGAGGGAGGAGGAGGTGGGGGGAGGAGGAGGTGAGAGGGAGGGTGGAGGAGGTGAGGAGGGAGGAGGTGAGGGGGGAGGAGGTGAGGGGGAGGAGGTGGGGGGAGGAGGTGAGGGTGGAGGAGGTGAGGGGGAGGAGGAGAGTGAGGGAGGTGAGAGGAGGAGGAGAGTGAGAGGAGGAGGTGAGGAGGAGGAGGAGGAGGAGGAGAGGTGAGGAGGAGGAGAGTGAGGTGGAGGAGAGTGGGGAGGAGAGGTGGGGGAGGAGGGAGGTGGGGAGAGGTGAGGGGGAGGAGGAGAGTGGGGGAGGAGGAGGTGGGGGGAGGAGGAGGTGAGGAGGAGGAGGGAGGGAGGGAGGGGTGGAGGAGGTGGGGGGAGGAGGAGAGTGGGGAGGAGGAGAGTGGGGGAGGAGGAGGTGAGGGGGAGGAGGAGAGTGAGGGGTGGAGAGAGAGGGAGGGGGAGGAGGTGAGGGAGGAGGAGGTGAGAGGAGGAGGAGGTGAAGGGAGGGAGGAGGAGTGAGGGAGGAGGAGGAGAGTGAGGGAGGATGAGAGTGAGGGAGGAGGAGAGTGAGGAGGGAGGGA